AGTATATAAAAATAATATTAGATAAAACACATCCCCTTTGTATATAAAATATAGGAGCATTCAAAAAGCTCATGGAAAAACTGCATAAATTTTTCATTTCACTTTTCTATGTGTTTTTGGAAGTTGCCTTGTATGGAAGGGAAAGAGAATGAGTGAGAACCTGAAAATTTAAAAACCTAAGTTCCAGCCCCAGGTCAACCATTACTAATTAGGCCATTTGAGAAAAGTCATTGCCCCTACTTGAGCCTTTCTTCATGTAGATTCTGTATATTATCTGCTCTGCTTAATTCTACGGTTGCTATGGGACCCTGAAAACTCTGACATATTACATTAAAGGCATTGACTATTACAATAAATGAAAGGTTGGAATGTGCTGGAAAACAAAAAGGAAAAGGGTAAATAGATGCTTTACTTTTCTATCACGTTCTTTCTTACTTCAGAGGCTAAAGAAGGTTTAGGTGTATCTCAGGAGACTAAGTGTGCGCTGGAGGTGGTTGGGTACAAGCCAGGGTGTCCCTTGGGGCTCACCAAACTGGGAACCAAGTTAGTTTTAGTCTGAATCTGCAGCCCAGCAGATCTAGCCTAGACAAGCCTCTGTCCCATGGAGTGAAGAGTATCAAACCTCCACGCGATTCTAGAACAGGTCTGCAGCTTTGGCTGCCTTCCAGATGACAAATGTTCTATAATTGGAATAGGGGCATTTCAAACTTCACTGGTAATAAGTGGGAAGGAGAACTTGTGTTTGTTTTGCTTAGGACCCTCAATAAATCAAGTTTAAGGTAGGATAGAAGAAATAAAGTCTCTAGTTTTACTTTAGTAGCACAGGCTTATAATTTAACCAACACAATCAAAGAAGGTGCTTTCCTTAAAATATTTTTTTGGGGGGGAATATTTCAAGGAAATCATTAAAAATAATATTATATACTTTCTTGTAGTTTTCAACAATTTACCAGATGCTGACATTTTCTTGATGACATATTGTCTTCATTATGAACATGCATATCCGATGGTTGAGTGCTTGACTACGAGCCCAACGGTGGCTGTTTACACTAACCCAGAAGTATTTGAGGAACAGGCCCAGGGTTCTACTTCTGAAAGACGGCATCTTTAAAAATCCTATGGAGTTCTCCTCTGTACACACGGTATCACTGCGAGTCAGATGGACCTAACAGCAACGGACAGCAGCAAATCCTTGTACCTTTGTGGCTCACTTAGAAAGAGCTGAGTAGAAATGTATTTTCCTCTTAAAAAAAAAAAAAGGTTCCACAGAGTAATGCTGCATCTTTGCAACTGCTTTTTCGATATTCTCTTGACAGAAATTATATAGCCTACTATTGACATTGTTTTTATAGCTAGTATTTTCAAAATCCGACACCAAAGGAAACATTCACATGTGAAACAATATGCTGGTTAAGGGACACTTGTTGATTCCACATAAAAGAATACGCACAAGGTTGGACACCCAGGTACTCTGTTAGGAGAATGATAAACACTGCGTTAGGTTATCTGATACAGTGAGAAAGCTTCTATTTGATGGGCGTCAGGTGATCTGAATTCTAGTCCTAGGTCTGCACTGACTGATCACTCTTTGACATTGAGCATTTCCTATGTCTCTGTCTCCTCATCTGTATAGAGGGCTAGCGAATGGTTTTGTTTTGCTTTTTAAAAAGAGGCTTTAGTTGTTGTTGTGCATTTTAAGCAATATATTCTTTTCTCCAAGTAGACTCTTCCAAGAAGTCCACTATTTAAAATAAACTCAGAGACTTGAAGTGAAGGCATACAAAGGCATATAAGGTACTCAAGTGTCCTAGCTATGCCAGGTGCCTCTGAAGAAGGTTTAGAACTCCCCAGGACACCGTTAGAAACCCAGTGGACTTGATAAGGCCTGAGGTCCTTTCCTGTTTTAACTTCACAGATGCTAACTTTTAGAGGAGTTCTTTTATTGTAAATGTATTTTTGGCAAAGAAAAAAGTTCATGAAATCTTTCTAATTGTAAACTACACTATTCTGTTTTTAATGCTACCATAAAATTAAAAGCAATTAATTAAAGAAGTCATTTAAAAAATAATTTTATTTTTGGATATTTTTCTTCGTGTCACTTAAAAAAATTGTAAAACAATATTACTGACCTATAATTTACATATCATACAGTTGAATGGTTTAAACGTATTAAAAAGAGTTGTGTTCCTGGCCCACCAGGTCTGGAGGATGATATCCCCGCTCTGAACAGCCAATGCACAGAGTGGACCATATGGCTGATCCCACTACAAGACACGCCGTCCCTTCCTAGCCCAGGGCCCTAAGGGGGACAATACTGGAGACTCAGTGTCGGGATGGCCCAGACTGACCTCACTAAAACCGAGGCAAACCACTAAAGGCGTGCGGCAGAGTAACCATGGGAGCAGAGCAGGGAGCCCAGAGGGAGTACAAAGGACAGACTCTGGGGCCAGAGCGTGGCACCCCATCAGACCTGACTGAAGGACACGCATAGAGGTCAAAAATCAGACCTTGATCTATTTACAGGCTTTTCTTTCTTTAAAAAAATTTTTTTTTGTCTTTTAATTAATTTATTCTTTTATGGGTGATTGATTTTCCTTTTTGTAGTCATCGTTGTGTTCTCATTTGTCACCTATCTTGCTATGGCTTGATTTTTGGTGCATATTATTATCTCTACAGATCGATCTAGATAAGATAGGCTGGAAAAGTAGTCTGGAGGAGAAAACAACAGGACCAACAGTTCCGGGGGGATATGGGAGAGGGGGAGGCGAGGGTAAGGGAGGTGGTGCTGAAGAACCCAGGGGCAGGGGAGCAACAAGTGATCCAAAATCAGTGGCAAGGAGGGAGTGAGAGGCCTGGTAGGGATTCAGCAAGGGCAATGTAACCGAGAGAAAGTACTGAAACCCAAATGAAGGCTGAGCATGATAGTGGGACAAGAGGAAAGTCAA